AAGTAGTTTTGCATTTTTGATCTTTATTTTCAAACGCTTAAGCTATTTACCAGTTTCTTAAAGGGTCCTTTTATTTATCAACTGCAAATGATTTATGTAAGTAGCTGAACGAACATATAACTGGCTAACTTAACGTTAAATTACCTCCCCATTCTTTCATTTTAATTCATTTATCGTCAGACTTCGATTCATCTTATAAAATAATGTAGCAACCTGTATCTGCTTATAAGGACATTGTCTAGGATTTATAGGCAGACGACTTCGTGTCATGACGTAATTTTCTGTCCGGTGAATTTGAAGTTAGCGTTGATCACATTCGATTGGTTGATCACGGCAAATCTCAGGGGTCTATTTTTTAAAAATATTCTGCTTTGGAAATTAAATTAATCTTTCACTGGCCAGTAGTTTAACATTGCCCGAGGAGACACATAATTAAGTAGCGATTTTTAACATATTTTAATATTCTAAAATAAATAATATTTAGCTCTACTCTGTATTGAGTTCTTTTAAATTAAATGTTACACATAGTGGAATTATACTCTATTTGTTCTCATTTTACCTGTATATATATATATATATATATATATATATATATATATATATAGTTTATACGTTATTATTATGGGTACACTTGAAGTAAATGCTGTTTTTTTTTTAATTAAGCAGTATTAATTACATTTACCTGCCCAAATGTTCGAGAAATTTCGAAGTAAATATGCGTTCTCTGACACAAATCGAACCTGTAACCTCTACTGAAATACCATTAAGGCTGATGTGCTATGACCGTTCAACCACAGAGAAATTCCGGCTAATCAAAACTCGAATTTCTGCTTTTAAATATACTTCGTTGATCTTTCTCGATTTGAATTCGTAACCTAACGTAAACCATGCCAACTTATCATTGGAAATGGATTAAATCCGATGAATAATTAATCTAAACATTAATTAAAATATAGCGGTGAACGCATATTTTATACGAAATTTCTCTATGCAGGTAAATGTAATTAATACTATTTAATTAAAGAACAGAGCATTTACCCAAATGAAAGAAATACTCAAATGATATTCTTATCAACTGACTTTATGTAAAAACGTTTTCTTTTTCATATTCGAGTGAAAAAAATATTCATTTAAATATTGAAATGGTACAACAAAAGAAATCTATGAATAAACAGCTCATGCCTAAAGGACGATTCTTAAATCGATTTATTTTCTTTTGGGCGAATGTTTCTTAATATGTTATAATGCCCCTTTTCAGATATAAAATAAATTACTGAGAATTGTTAAAATTTATTTCTTAAAATTTTAACAACTTGTGTAATTTACGAAATAAATTTTAATATTGATAATTTTTCGTAATTATTTTTTTCTGTTTTATTTTATTAAAATGTACTTTCCAGTTACACATGAACGCCTTCCAAAAACACTTGATTTAACAGATTATTGCGCTAGGCTAGGTCTCCTGTCTGTATTTACAAATATGATTTATTACTTTCTGAAACCAGTACATCACTACTTGTAGTTCCAGTTCAAAACGATAATAATTATATCTGATGTCGTATCCTCTCGGTACACCCACATTAAATAAAAAAAATTAAAAAAAAAACTGCTCAGGAAAAGCTCAACAATTTTGTTGTAAGACTGGTTCAGGATATAAAGAGGCCTAAAAAACATAGAAAAAAAAGAAACGAGCTTTCTGCGGCAGAGATGACTAGGATCAAAGTGTAGTAACGGCATCCAGCCCAGGGTACCAGCCACCAGAAGCAGTTCTAATTAGCGAGCCATCATCATCTTCAACTTGCCATCGGGCGTCGCTCCAGCCATCTTCAGCAGGAAACCAAATTCTGCCGCTTCCGGAAGCGCCAACAGGCTTCCGGCTTCAGCCATCCTTGTCATTCATAGGCAATAATCTATCCTTTTCGGAACACTCTTCAGCAATCACAAAATTTTCCATTTTCAGGACAACGCTCTCAAGCGGCTACCAAAACTGTTCTTCTCAGGAAGACAACGCTATTGCCACCTTTTACATCAGCTTACAATGTAATGTTTTGTCTAGTGCATGATTATATTTGTCTATTTTTTCTTTAGCAAAAAATAAAATTGGCAATATTTTTTTTTAATCAAGTCTTCGTTATTTTTGTTGTAGTATTCCGTCAAGTAATATCTTTTTGCTGGCCAATATACCACTCCCAACAGTAGTTATCGGGTTGCTAATAATTGTTCAAAATTTAAGCAGTCCACTTGCTAATCATAGGTCTGTTGGGAACAAGGCTAACATATGTAGGTTAATTCGTTTGCTCCGAAGTCAGTAATATGGAAAGTGTCAGAACGGCACCAATATATCAAGTTTTGCACAGCAGAAGATCCAGAGTGGAAGCCCCGTGTTTCGGCCCCCATGCAACTTCCCATATAGGCATTAATGACTGAAAGCAAAAAGAGACTGGCTAGGTAGCATATCATCATTTAAACACGTTTTATAGAATAATATAGATTTTACTCTTCTCTAAACTGTTTCTTGATATTATGATTGAATTCATCAAGGAAGGCACTGTAGCTTTTCAGCCTAACAATGAAATGCAGATTTTATATGAGCTACAATATGCTTGGGTTTGGAATTCACTCGGGAGGATGATGTAGGAAGAAATCGAAAGTACTTGGGTGTGAAAAAAAAAAATCACAATTAATGGTGTCTTTGAACACGCATGCGCGCACACACACACACCGACACCGACACACACATGCACAGGTTTAGCATGAAACAGAATGTCCCCTCTGGATGTTGACTTCAATGTCCACTTTTATGTCTACATACGCTCTTTACCTGATACACTTTAGTTCATAAGTACAGCATAGCTTAAAATTATATTTCTTCATATATATATATATATATATATATATATATATATATATATATTATGAAATTGACAAAGTCCGTCAATTATTTTAAGACATTTTTATGTTTATACATTCTTTTTTTATAGATACACATATTTAAGTAAATGCTCTGTTTATAATAAACTTTATTAACAACATTTACCGGACGGAATACCCGAGAAATTGTCAGAGAAAATATGCGTCCTCCGACAGGAATCGAACCTGTATCCTATCCGGAAATGTCATATAGCCTGACGTGCTTTTCACCTGCACTAAATGAAATATCATACAAGTTATAGAAAAATTGTCCAAACGTCGTCAAGCAACTCATCATCTTCCTCCAGCAGGCATGGAAATAAAGAATTGTACCACAAGAATGATGCCTGGTGGATGGTATTTGGATACATAACGGGAAGAATGCAAAAGACATTGCAAATTCTGCCTGATCTCAATCACAAGTTGTGCACAAGGTTAGTTCTGAGTGTTTTGGTGATGCAACTGCAAGAGAGGATCTGAACGAAGAGAAGCGGTCAACTCGACGACAGATTCAGAAAGGTAAACTAAGAGAAAAACAGAGTGTTTTGAAGTGCCGACTCAAAGAAGCTCCAATTCCTGAGAGGGAAGGACTTAAGGACCTGCTTAATGAAATTAAAAAAAGATCTTAATAATCACTAGAGCTGAGAGGAAAAAAAAAAAAAAAAAAAACGTTAGAACAAAAAGTAATTATTTTACAATAATCCTTAAGCTTTTGCTAAAAAGCGGTTCCATTTTGATTTGTTTTGTTTTAAGGCATACAAACCTCAATAGGTTACTTAATGCCGACAAAGTTTTTATTGCTAGTAATATTTTTTCCAAAAATATATTACTGCTAAATTTTTTTCCAAAACCGTATAGCTGGTAATATTTTTTTTTCAAAAATATTGCTGGTAATCATTTTTCTCTTCAAAAATTTATTGCCGTTAATAATTTTACAAAACTTATTTCTGTTACTAAAACATATATTAACACTTTCATAGAGTTTTGACCTCGGGTTGGGCTGTTAACTATTTGTCCATAGCTGAGTCCCAGACAGGTGCTACCACCCCGGGTCTTGGTGGACATGGGAACACCAACAATAAAGAGGTGCTTCCATGCTCCTCAAAACCTGATCATAGGCCTTGCTGTCGGACGTACTTTATCGTCATACACAGGACGCGGATGTAGTTTATCGTCATACCCAGGACGGGCTCAAAAGCTGTTCACCCAGACCAAGAGTGTCAAACTCGAAGTACCGAAGGAGGAACTCGAAAAGCACCCGGGGATGATGTATTCTGATGCTTGGAAATATGTTCCAATCCCTAGTATGAATAACCATCCTATGAAAATCTCGTGTCGTTAGTGCAACTGGAATAACTGGAACAGCATACAAATAATATAAGAATTGCACAAATGTGGATAAATATATGGCTACATATTTGTATTCTATAAAATGCACCGGCCTTTTTTTTTTTTAAATCAGAACGCATGATCGATTTATTTTAATAACTTTTTGCTCTGGGGTAGATATAGTTTTGATCCTACTAAAATAATTATATTAAAATACAGCTTTCGATCTGAAAATGGTTGGTCTAAAGTTAACGTTTTTTTAAACAAAACGTATTATTTTCTTTCTTTTTAATGATGTTGCATTGTCTTAAATTTGGGGATGATAATATAGACCGTCTGCTTCCTTGATTTCAGTTTCCAATCAATCATTTTTTTTACTCGTGTCATTTCAAATATAATCCGATGTTTTCTTATATTCAAGCTCTAAATACTTTGGAAAATTAGTTTACTCAGTGTCAAAAATGATGGATAAAGCAAAGTATTTTTGAAATTCTGTTGTACTAAGATATCAAAATTCATTTTCTTCACTTCCTTGCTTATTCTCGATAATTTAGTGAATATCAAATTAAAAGTAAAATTAAGCAAATATAATAATTGATCGTCTACCTTGAACCATTTCTATAAATGTATAATATTAAAAACTGTCTTTTACTTGCTAGAGTTGTCATCACGTTCCAACGCCTCGAAGACTAATTGTATATCTCTAGATAAGTGCCTCCATTTTCGACAACCTTCACCCTCTTTGGACGCAGGCCTCTCCGATGTTCCCCATTATGCGGATTATCACCTTATTCACGAGGCTTAGTTTGCATGTACCTTGCTTTTCATATAATTCCACAGAAGAAAGTCACAAGGTTTATGGTAAGGGGGGGCGTAGCCTATTCGAGAGAGTCACTTTGACCAATATATCCGTCAGAAAATTTGATATACAAGAAATCAATCTGGCAAAGTGGGAAGAGGCATCCTCTTGTTGGAAAAAGACGTTAGCAAGATCATTCCCACCGTTACCGGACGCATCGAGGAAGAAGAATTGTCCAATCATTTCAGCGCTAGATATGGCATACAAAACCAAAAGCTTCATGATCTCGTTCATGCCCGACAATTTTTACTGGGAGTTATTTTCCCTAAATTCGACAGTTGTGTCCGTATACCCAACAAGAGTTTTAATTTGTAATTCTAGAAGTGTGATTCACATATTTACGAGTATTATAATCTTCTGATTGAAGCGTTGAAAAAAACTAAAATCGGAACGAGCAGGGCTTAACAACATTCCGAATCATCCAGTGAATCGTGCTTTTGTTGATATTAAGTTCCAGTATAGCCCACCGGATAGACTTTTACTGGCTTTGCGCAAACGCCTACCCTAAGAGTTTGCTGTTTTCATCAGTGCTTATAGTAGCAGGCCTTCTTAATCCGTGGCTTGTCAAGAACAGACGCTCTTTGGAGAAATTTTCTATCAATAGCGTAAATTGTACTATGCGTTGAAATAGTGGGATGGGTCGAAACTTTCTAAACTTTGAAATGCAGTCGAGATTTGAAAAACGTCGTGCCAGTTGGCAATTTTGCGACGCTGATGCAACATTGGTTCAATGTCAATCGGCTGGCAAGAGACGTGAGTGAACATCGAAAAATTTGCATCCATTGTTGTCTCCAGAAATTCCCATCCATTGTTAATACACCACAATTTCCCGACCATTGTTACACTCCAAACCTTCCAATCCATTGTTACTCTCCACAACATTCTATGAATTGTTACTCTCTACAACATCCCGTCGATTGTTACACTCAACAACATCCTGTCCATTGTTACTCTCCATAATTTCCAATACATTGCCCCTTTCCACAAATTCCTGTCCATTGTTACTCTCCACAACTTCCCATTCATTGTTACTTTCCAAAACGTCCAGTTAATTATTACTCTCAACAAATTCCTGTCCATTATTATTCTCCACAAGTCCCCGGTCATTCTTACTCTCCACAGATTCTTTTTCACTGTTAATCTTCACAACTTCCCGCGAATTGTTATTCTCTAGAACCTCTCATCCTTTGTAACTCTCCACAAATTCTCGTCCAATATTACTCACCACAACTTCCTACCCAATGTTACTCTCAACATCTTCTAGTCCATTGTTACATTCCTCAAATTCCCGTTCACTCTAACTCTCCACAACATCCCGTCCATTATTACTCTCCATATCTTACCGTCCATAGTTACTTTCCACAACTTCCTGTCCATTTTTACTTTCCACAACTTCCTGTCCATTATTATATTCTACAACTTACTATCCGTTGATACTCTCCATATCTTCCTGTACATTCCTACTCTCCATATCTTCACGTCCTTTGTTACTTTCCGCAACTTCTAGATCATTGTTACACTCCACAAGTTCCCATCTATTGTTACCATCCACAACTCCCCGTCCATTGTAATTCTCCACAACTTCCCGTACATTGTAACTCTTCACAACTTCCGGTGTTACTCTTTTCATCCTCTGGTCCTTTGCAACTCTCCACAAATACCCATCCACTGTTACTTTTCACAAGTTCACATCCATTGTTACTCTCCACAACTTCCAGAACATTGTTACTCTCAACAAATTCCTGTCCAGTATTTTTCTCCACAAGTTCTCAGCCATTCTTACTCTCCACAAATTCTTATCCATTGTTACTCTCCGTGAATTTTTACTCTCTAGAACCTCTCATCCTTTGTAACTCTCTACAAATTCCCGTACATTGTTACTCTCCAAAACTTTTTGCCCATTGTTACATTACACAATTTCCTAGTTCAATCTTACTCTCCACAACTTCCCATCCATTGTTACTCTTCACAAATGCCTGTCCATTTTTACTCTCTACAAGTCCCCATCCATTGTTACTTTTTACAATTTCCTGTCCATTTTTACTCTCTACAAGTCCCCATCCATTGTTACTCTCCACAAATTCCTGACCATTATTACTCTCCATATCTTACCGTCCATTGTTACTTTCCACAACTTCTTGGCCATTGTTACACTCCACAACATCCCGTCCATTATTACTCTCTACAACATCCCGTCCATTGTTTCACTCCACAACTTCACATTCATTGTCACTCTCCACATCTTCCCGTCCATTATTACTCTAACTTTTGACTATTACCATTTTACTTTGACATGTTTTGCCACCAATTAACGCTGTCTCGGTAGGCTATTTGCTGTGTCTCTAGCTTCTCCTGCCTTCTTTATATTATAAAAAGTGCCACATTGTCTAAGCTCTCTCTCCTCTTCAGAAAATAAAACAGGAAATCCGGGAAGATGAATTTAACAATGCTCCATTTAAGAAAACTCGAACATTCTTTCATGGTGAATATATGTACGTGTGTTTGCTTAAGAAATAGAATCTGGCTATGATGTTGTATTCTATTCATAATACGCATTTTACAGACATTACGAATGCTGTATTATTTCTGTCCTATTTTCTTTGCGTCTATCGATTTGTTAAGCCTGTAATACTAGAAGAAAAATGATTTTGAAAAAATCTCCCATTTCTCTTTTAATTCCAGGGTTTTAAAATGTAACTTGAAGCAACAGAATCCGATAATGTCTTTATCCTAGTCCACTCAAAATATAAATGCATTCTTCAACATTTTAATAAAACTTAATATATACTTTAAGCAAATTCTTGTATTTCTTTTGTGATTATGATGTGAAGAAGAACGGTTTCTTCAAGAACATTTTCGACAGACTGAATCCCCACGAGTTTTATTAAAACATGCCAAGCATTTATTTTATAAGGAAATTTAATGCCGGATTTGTGTGCGAAGATACTTTGAAAAGGGTTTTGTCACTGGGATTCCGCAGAAATCGAGATATGAAAATGTAGTAATAGAATGTGTAATATAAACCGTTTCTGAATTTATTAAAGTAAATAATATTATACAGATAATGAAATTCCCTTTTGAATGAATCGCAAATTTCGTTAGTTTGAAAGAACAAGATATATTTGTCTCGAGTACACAGCAGCTCGGCGAAATAAATAATATTTAAAATAAACAGGGCGTTTACTCAGATACGAGTATCCGGTAAAATAAAGTTTGGCGTAAGAAATTGTTTTGTTTACGTTTCGGATAAAAAAAAAGAACAGTAAGTGTGCTTTAAAGTTAAAATGAAGCTTTATTTTAAAGATCTTTTTAGCCCTGCGGTAAACGTGTTAGACTGTGCTATCTCATGCAAAAAGAGACGCAAGTTTCGAATCCTGCCTCATTTATTAAATTTTCTCGAGTACTCATGATAGTAGGCGAAATAATTACTGGTTAAGTAAAACTTAATGTCTACTTATATACGGGTATTCACTAAAAATAATGTTTGAATTATTAAAACTCCACAGAATATATATGAAAAAAATTTTTTTTTTCATTAAAAGGCCTCCTAACATAGCGATCAGTGAAACGAAAATTTCTTTGTAGTGGACGCTTCACTAACATATAAATAATAATTCATATTAATTTTAATTATCAATATTAATTTATATTAATCCTAATTATATATTAATAATAATATATTATAAACTATATGTTTAGATTATTTTCCGCGTCAACCAAACTTAACTTACATATTTAACTAATTAACCCATGCATTAATACACACCACACCACATTATACAAAAAAAGCCAACTAGAAAAGACGCATAATCCCGAGCAATCCACCGTATAGCAAAAACGAAAAAAGCAAACAGAAGAAATATTCATTAACCTAACACACAAACACTTCCATAAAGCACTCTTCACAAGCCGTTTAACAAAATCAAAGTAAAAATCAGCTCTAGTTGCACCGAGAACATGACATAAATAATAAAAAAGCACAACAGGAAAATGACCAACTAAAAAACCAGTAACTGCTGATCAGAGAACGATTGTCCCTTGAACGGCAATTGCTTACAAAAATATAATATATCAAGTCACGGTAAAATCAGCAAATAACGAAGAAAAAATATATATATATATATATATATATATATATATATATATATATATATATATATATAGTAATAACTGGTGGTTCATGGAAACAGATAAATTATACACAACATACATTACGAATAGTAAATACGTGAACAGCACATTCCTTTCTAAAATTACATAGGAAATTAAAAACAAACATCAAATTACACCAAAAATATGGAAAATACAGAAAACAGCATCGGCTTACAACAAACCGTGAACATTTTCTGGGAACGAAAATAATAATAATAACAAACTTCGCAAACCAAAAGAAATTATTACATAAACGATCTGATCTCACTTCATATTAATGTCTCGGTAACAATCTTTTACAACTTTACTTAAAAATCGAAAACTAAAAAAAAATATAGCATGTACTAGACCACCGTAAAAAATGCAAATATACTCATCATAAACAAAGCAGATAATGTAATGTAATTATGCAAAGCCTATACCTTTAAACTTGAAATAATCAAATCCCGGTGGAAAAAATTTAACAAAATAAACAAATAAACAAATTAACTAAATAATTAACAAAATTAACAAATTGCGAAAGAATACATAGACACAAGCAAATGTAATAATAATAATAATAATAATAATAATAATAATAATAATAATAATCAACTATGAATAATTAAGTAAATAATGTGTAAAAGCTATCAAATAAACCGACTTCGGATGCACAATAATTTCTGCTAAATAGCCTCTTGAATAATTTGAAACATAACCGTTATCGTCCACCGAATAACCGTAAAACGTTACTACACATAATGCACCACTGACAGGCATATATAAATATTCGAGGGAAAACACAACGCACATGACTTCAACATTGCGTGGAAGCATACAACTGACTGTTTCCGCGTCTTGTTGACCTAAGTCTTCATATATATATATATATATATATATATATATATATATATATATATATATATATATATATAAAAAAACGAAAATAATATATAAATTCTAACGTTCACAGCATTAATTCAAAAGAGGGCTCGATACCGATAATTATTGTTTATTATAATTTTATCATATAGACAAAAACAGATTAGTCACTACAAAGATGCAACTATGTTTCAGTGAATTTCAATTGCACCTCGACTGGGGGAATGGAAAAAAGGAAGTGACGTTTTACATACGGCTTGCTTACAAGTAGAATTGTTCATAACCATTTTTGGTTCTCACCCGTCGATGTACAATAGAAATACACCGAAACGAAGTTGCATCTTTGTAGTGAGTAAAGTGTTTTGTGTATATGATAAAATTATATATATATATATATGTGTGTGTGTGTGTGTGTGTGTGTGTGTGTGTGTGTGTGTGTTTATGTATGTGTGTATGTTTGTGTGTGAAAGGAGGTTCTGTCAAATTCAACTGAAATGTTTCCGTTTAAATCTTTTATTCTTACAATGTTTGAAATATGTGTGAAAAATCCAGTTGAAAATTGTTGTTACTCTGTCTAAAATGACGTGTTTTTTTCTTAGTATCATTGGATGTGCTAGTGATTCTCATCACGAATGTTTCAAACAGCTTTGGCAGCTTTGTTACTTTGATTACAAGCAAAGGGAAGATGATGTCAGGCATGGTCGTTCTTGTCTACTTGTCATTCCATCTCAAATGCGCGTCTAATCTAAAATAACGTGTCAATACCATTCGACAACAATACAGAGGATGACAAACGTTACTAAGAAGCAAAACTGATAAGAAAGATTATTCTTCGGGATCAATTTCGGAACATCAGAAAAACTAACGAATATATGTAAGAACCTAAGAAAAGATGAACAACTTTATTTTAGAATCATGGAAATGTTCAGACTTATCTTGTCATCTATGTTCTTCACACTCCGTCCATAGTTCCCACCTTTACTGTTATTTATACGCCCTTTTGTCTGCAGTTCCCCCTTTCTTGCATCAGGAACTTTTGATCCCCGTATCATGCAGGGAATTTCAGACATTCAGTTAATCTATGAGTGTAATTTGTTCTCTTTACACTTCAGTTTTGGTACACCTGGTGAGTCTGAACGCCAGCAAAGATATCAAAGTTCAAAAGCTCGTACCAGAGAGCTAGGGCATTTCAATTCTGACATCCCTTGATCTACGGTTCCATGCGTGTATCCGGAACACCTGATGGATGTCCTTACCGCCCACACTAGATAGCGTAGTCGCCGAGCATGAGTACTTCATGATAGACAGGCGTCTAGCTGAAATTGTTCACGGTACCAGACACTATCGCAAATCATAATCACATTCAATAGATGAAGGCGAAGATCCATACATAGCAGATGAGTTTAGCTTTCTTTTGCTTCAACGGGATAATAGTGCAGACGTTCCACAAGAGTGACCTTGATAACACGCCGATTTGCAAACAGAGCCTCACCTTGACACGAACCTGGATGACTGACGATATGACCTGGTTTCATGAGTCCCTATTTCAACTGAACCAGGATGATGATATTGTTATATTTTGGGGTAGATTCCATGAGACATTAACCCATGGAAAAGGGTCGGCGGACCTTTGGTTGTTCAATAACGATAGTACGGGTATTAATTAGGTATAGCTGGGGGTCAACATGTCAGCATAGAAATATCATTGATTGATGACCATGATGATAGACTGCATCATAACAATTCAAATAGGCATACAATGATAGATTTCATGGTAATAAACCGTATCTTTGGGCCAAGATTTCTAGAAATGACTTAAAGAGTAGTCTAAAAAATTCCAGCTAATCAGGTGACACCACTTTCGCTCTACCTGAAACTAAACGATCATTTATTGGAAGTAGTCGGCACGTATGTCAGCAAGCATGATTGTTCACCTAAATATAACTGATATCTGACGGCAGCTATCAGAAGTCATTGCTCGAACTATCTTCAGAGGTCCTTCGGCCGACCGAGAACTCGATGCCATATCAAGTGGTAACAATTCGCAAGGTTAGAAGCTCCGCACTTGATACTATTCAACGAACCAGTGAATTTTGGCACGTCACTATAGATTATTACATGAAGTAAAATATTTTTAGAAGTGAACTGTGATAATTTTATAGATAACGAGTAGAAGTGTTTCAGAAATAAAATAAAAAATGTCGGAACACTGCATAGAAATCAATATTTTTTGTGGTGGGTGTATTTCTCAAGATGTGATGATTTGATGTATTTCTACGCAAATGTATTTCAACTCAACTTCCAGTCCCAACCATCAGAGAATTCCGAAGCGAAAAATTTCGATAACATCATAATTACATAAATTTTTATATAGACGCATACCTCGACGCACAAGTACGAATAAATAAAACGAGGCTTCCATGTCATATATAAATTAGTGCTGTGCATTGAACTTGATGCCAAATACGTACGTCGCACTGTATTTCTGTCTGCGAAAAAAAAAAAAATGATTTGCAAATATTTTCCATATTTCTTCAAACTTTAAATAATTGTTTCTGAAAGGTACAAATCGATATTAGACAAGGAAGTGTTATTGCCGATATTTTAGGCTGCTGTTATATATTTTTCGTGGGTGCTGATATTTTGACAGAGTTTTACCCTCTTCCGTCCGGCCATTGATTTATTGCATTTTGTCATTTTTTTTTTTGTTTTTTTTTTTTTTTCTGAAACTATGAATCTTCTTTTCTTCAATTTTTTTTTTATTTTTATTTTTTTTATTTTCGCGCCTTTTTATTTCAAAATTTCTATTGGTTTCTTTATTTATTAATTTTACTGATCATTAATTTCTCTTTTGCTTTTTTCGTTCCCTTTCAATCTTCCTGTATTTATTCTTCAATTCTTCTTCTGGAAATTCTGTCTCATCTCTTTTTCATTCTCTTTTCATTTTTCTGTTTATACTTTCAGTTTTCTTCTTAACAACCGAACTCCGTTTTTCAGGTTTTTTTTTTTTTTTTTTTTTTTAAATTTTTTATCTTATTTCGATATTTATATTGGGTTGGTGCGTAATTATCAGGCGTTTTATAAACAATATTCATGCGGAAAAAAGAAACATAATTCAGCAATAACATTTTAAAATGATTATTCCGGAGCGTATGATTATCGACTCGGATTTTTATAACCTGAAAATAAAATAATATTTTCATTAAAAAAACTAAACAAAGCAACAATTTTTATTAGCAAATATCACGCCTACAAAAACGCCTGATAATTATGCACCAATATTTCCTTTTTCAGATTCCAGGTCCATTTGTTTTTTATTCACTTTTTTATTTTATTTACCTATTTTTTCTTTCTTTCTTTCTTTCTTCTCATCTCAAATTGTTTTACATTTTTCAGTTGCCGTTTTTTTTCTTTCTTTTATCATTCTGTCAATTTATTTTCCTGTCTCTTTATTTTTCTTTTCCTCTTTCTCTTTACTTTTATTTTTCTTTCTTTCTTTCCATGTTTCTGTTCAATTTATTTTTTTATCTTTATTTTTCGTTCTCTCTCTCTACTTTTAATTTTTTCTTTCTTTCTCATTATCATTCTGTTTAATTTATTTTTCTCTGTCTTTATTCTTCTTTCTTCCTCATTAACTTTATTTTTCCATATCTCTTTTTATACTTCTCTCTCCTTTATTCTTCCAATCTTTGTTTTTCTTTGTCTTCCACTTTTATTTTCTTCCGTTTTACTTATCGCTCGGTCACATTTCTTTGCCTTTCCATTTTTCTTTTTTTTCTTTTTTTTCCCCTCTTTCCGTTTTTTCTTTCTTTCTTTTTATCATTCTGTCTTTTATATTTTCCTTTTTTTCTTTGTCTCTTTCTTCGTTTATTTTATTTCTTTTCCTTAGCATACTGTGTCATTTTCTTTTCTATCTTTTGGCTCTTTGTATCTTTCCATATTTCTTTTATTTAATCTTTACTATTCTGTCGCACATTTTGTCTCTCCCATGATTCTTCTTTCTCTCTTATCATCATTCTTGTTTACTTCTACTTCCATCTTCATAATTTTATCTAATTCCTTTTCTTTAACATTTTATCTCTTTTCTTTTTCTTTCTCTTTGCCCGTTTTCTCTCTCCACTTTTCTTTTCTTTTTATTACTCTGTTGCACATATTTTCCTTGTCTTTTTCTTTCTCTATTTCTGACTTTATTTTTCTTATTTCTTTTCGTCATCCTCATTTCCACTGTTTCTTTTCACGTTTTCTATCTCTTTGCATTTCTTTCAAATCTTATTTACTTTATTCTGTCTCATTTCTTTTCTTTATCTTTGTCCTTCGTCTACTTCTCTATTTATTTTACTTTCCTTTAATCGCTTTGTCGCAATTATTCTCATTCACTTCTTTCACACATTGTTTCTAACTTCTTTAGTGTGGGGCTCGCCCCTTGTACACAAGATGGACTCGTCCAAAGTATACTTATACTACGGAGAGATAGCGTGACAAAAACATCGAGACAGGGTGTTCACTCAGAGTTATACGAGAGTCCAGAAAGAGAGCTAATTACGGCTTCACTTACAGAGACTTGTACATATACTTTCCTACTAACCCGCTTTCCTGGACTACTAATCTTCATTTCAAATTTGTATTCTTACGTTTAATACACATATTTTCCTATTTCAATTACTGGCGTTGTTTATTTATTTGTACAGGATTCCATCCCCGGGATCCACAACATTCATATTTTCTTTCATTTATCATATAATACTGTCTCATTTGATTTTCTTTCTATCTCTATTTCATTCCTTATTTCTACTTTTATTTTTCTTTCTTTTCATATCACCATCGCATATATATATTTATTTGTCTGATTTTTTTTTTTGTTTTGTCAGAGGGTTGAGAACAAGAGTAACGAGGCACTTTTGACGAAAGGATATAGAGAATTACGGGGAACAAGATGAAGGCAACAGAAGATGTCGATTGACATTACACTTGAATATTTGAAGATTGTAGTTATCAGGGACAGCTGATACGTGACATATGTCCTTCATTACGGCATCGAATGTTGGATGATTTCTTCAAAGATGAAGAAGAGAATCGAGGCGACAGAGATGTAGATTTACAGAAGGATGCTGAGGGTATCATGTACCGAGCGTGAGCAATGATGAGGAGGAGATTTATACATAACATTAGGAAGAGGCAGCTGAATTTCCTGGGACACATAATGAGGAAGGAGGGCCTGGATAATCTGATACTCAAAGTCTAATAGAGGGAAAGAGATATAACGGAAAACAACGAATGGCATACCTACCGGCTTTAAGCAAGTGGACGAAAGAATGTGGTCTGGGGGAGGTAGCAGAGGGAAGGAAATTGTTGAGAGCTGCAAGGAATAGAAGGAGGCGGAGAGCCATGATCGCGTACGTCCTGGAAGAACATGGCACATAGGATGAAAGAAAGTTATGAAGGAAGCAAATAGGAGGAAGGATGTTCCACAGACGAGAAGTGCGAGAGAAGAAGCTGTTTGAGTAGAAGAGGCGGTTACATTTAACCTTTTCGACAGTGAAAGTTTGCTACTGTGATATCAGCCTAGTAGCCCGCTTAAATTCATGTAGTCTGAGAACCAGCGAAATTAGATCATCGGAACAGTGGCCGTGAAAATACTTTTAGAAGAGACAGTCGGACAGTGACTGTAGACAAGATGCCAGATCAGAACCTATCATATTGCATATCCGTCTCTGGATTTTATCGAGGACCTCGAGACGTAAAGCGGGGGCACCGGTCTATATATGACAGCAGTATTTCCATGTTCTCTTTTTCGCCCTTTATTTTTTTTTTCTTTTTCTTTTTAATTCCGTCTAGATTTTATTGTTTCTCTTCTCTATTTCTATCTCCATTTTTACTTTTATTTTTCTTTCTTTTTATTGCACTTTCTTTATATTTCTCTTTCGCATTTATTTACTTTCTCTTTGTTTTTTTTTTTTCTTTCTCTCAATTTTGTTTCTTATTATTTCGTCTCATATTTTCTCTCTCCCTTCGCTTTTTCTATCTCCATTTTACTACTTTTCTTTCCTTTTTTATTGTTTCATTATTTTCTCTTCCTCCTTTACTCTTCATTTTTCTTTTTTTTTTATTTTTCAAGCTCATTTATTTTCCTTTTTAAAAGAGTTTTTATGCTCAGTTTTTTTACAATATAGGCGGCGCGCTATACGGAGGTACTTTTTGAAGATGTTTATAAATCACTCATTGTCAATGCCCAGTTGAACTATAAACAGGTAATTGTTTTCTGGAGGGGCAAAAATTCATGCAAAAATCTCACTATATTTTACGTCGACTTATACACTAGTATAGACGGCAATGATTTTTTCTTTATAAGTCAGCTGACTTGTTTTTTATTCTATTACTTGTTTTATTTTTTTTATTAAATTCGTAAAATATTTTTTTCCCATGTGTTTTATTCATTTCTTTACTGTAGATTTTTTCAACAGTTAAAACATTTTACTTTCTTTCTTTCAGATTTTCCGGTCGGGTTTGCTCTACCACTTTCTTATCTTTCGTTTTTTTTTTCTTGATTGCTTTCTATCACTTTTCTGTTTTTTTTTCTTTCTTTCTTACTTTTTTTCTTTTTCCTCCCTTTCTCCTTTCTTTCTTTCTTTCTTTCTTTCTATCTTTTTTTCCAGATTTCAGTCTTTCTTTCGATTATTTTTCTATCTTTTCTTTCTTTTTTTCTTTTTTTCTTTCTTTCTTTCTTTCTTTCTTTCTTTCTTATTCACTCTGTGTATTTTATCTCGTTAATTTTTTTTCTTTTTTTTAAAGTTCTGATTCTCTACTTGTTTACATTCGTTCTCTCGATTTTACTGCTTTATTTTTTCTTTTTTCTTCCAGTCTTTTACGCTCACTATTTACTTCTTTCTTTCTTTCTTTCTTTCTTTCTTTCTTTCTTTCTTTCTTTCTTTCTTTCTTTCCTTTACCTATTCTATCGCTTAGTTTTAGTTCGATCTTTTCCTCTTCTTTTCTTTCGCAATTTATATTATTTTCTTTTCCCGTTTTCTTTCTTTTTTAATTATTTTCCGATCATGCATACACTCTCAATCTATTTCTCGTTTTATTCTTCTTTGTTTGATATCTATATCTCTCTATCTCAAACACACACACACACACACACACATATATATATATATATATATATATATATATATATATATAAATATATAAATATGAAAATACAAAAGTGAACATTGAAGTCACCACTCAGAGGCAACGTGCTGTTTTCATGCTAGACGCAATCATCAGGACACCTGACGTTTGCGTCTAGCATGATTTCATGTTCACTTTTATATTTATATTTACATACTCTCTATCTCTGATAGTGAGCACTTGATCCCATAAATATAGCCCACCTTAAAGCTATATCTCTTTATATATATATATATATATATATATATATATATATATATAAATATATATATACAAAATATATATACACATATATATATATATATATATATATATATATATATATATATATATATATATATATATATATCTGTGTGTGTGTCTGTGTATGTATGCGTGTGTGCATAGATCCATTTATTACGAGGTGATTAGAAAGGGGTACATAGTGAACATTTAATGATTTTTTTTTATTAATAGAATAGAGTCATGTATCAATATTATTTCATTTGATAGAAATGATAGACCAAGCTTGTATCGATCATGGCATTAACTAACTTAGCTAATGATCTATCTATCTATCTATCTATCTATCTATCTATCTATCTATCTATCTATCCCGTCATTTATAAAAAGAAAATGGTTAAAAGAATAGCCCGGATGTGCTACCTACGGTTGGTCGTATAACACAGATACTGGCTACGGATTACGTTCGAATGCATGTAAAGTCAGTGGAAATAGAAAAGTGATAATCAGAGCAGGTCGACGAGATTTACGGCTGTTTGGACTTATGGCTCTGTCAATATGTGACAGTTTACTACAGACTTTAAAGAATGGTAAGAATTAAGATGATCAACACATGAAATTCAAACAGAAAATAATTACATAATCAAGATGTTGACGTTCCACAATTCTTCAAAGAAAAAGTTAGGAAGGAGGCCTTCAACAGCAGCAAAAACTAAAGAAAAACTGAGATGGAATATAACAATTACTGTACATGAAAAGTGCATTGTCTTGAAAATTTTCATTAGTTTAAAGATTCTATAAATGCCAACTGATACCAGCACTGGTTGCTCGGTCAAGGCATGCGAAGTGTTTCCTTCTAAGTAAACTAATAAACTGATATTACCATTTCCATCTATTTTAATCTGGTAATTTTTATCTATCTATCTATCTAGCTAGCTAGCTAGCTATCAAATTCTAGAACTAAAATTATATCGTGAGCCATCATGTTTTTAAACAGTGTAATTTATATTAACCAGCCTAGACATTGAGAAGTGATAAGCTAAATATAACATCAATTACATTAGTTAAAAATTACACACAGAAACACACACACACACAAGCATATATATATATGAGCTGGGGATGATCTTGGGAACGAAACCGGTTGGTCTGTTCTGTAAGTGTTATCATCTCTTATTTTTTATTTTTTCATTCTTCATAATGCCTTTAGGAAATAATTTGTATCTATTCCTTGCAATATTACGGTTTTGTACCTCCAACAATTTATTTAAATATTTTAAGCGGAGGTATTCGAGAGATATTATCAAAAAACTTGATAAATTTCTTCTTATTAAGGCAAGATTGAGAAAACTAAAAATAATTGTAAATTTCTTCAAGCCTGTATTGATAATCATGTTTGTCCTTCCTCTTTTCTGTTTAGAATTAGGAGTGCAAAAAATCCAGGTCTAAAAATTGAAGAGGTTTTCATGAGGGATTCTATTCAACTTTGTACAAATAGAATCCATCAACTGATCCGTGATTTTATTGTCCTTCCCAGAGAATGTTTAACCTACCTTTCATTTTTTGATAGGATTAGGTTCTGTCATTATGTGGGTTCTATTCATTCTAAATCTTCAAGAAAATTATCTAGTGACACACAATCTAAGTTGCAGCATTTAATTAATAAACGGTTTGGACATATTGTGGAACCAATTTCGGGAGTTACCGTTAACCTGTCTACTTACGAGCTTTCCAAGCTAGAGCCTAGTATACTCTCGCATGGCCTTGACCACTGCGTTCCATTTAGGATTCCTGATAAGGAAAAAAATTTTTCCGAATTTGAAGTGTTATCTTCGCAGTTGTGCAGACTTGTGCCTCGCTCTTCTGACTCACTTTCTAATCTTAAGGCTACTCTTAATAGTTTGGCACATACTTATGCTTTAACTCCTGTAGCCCTTTCCGAGTCTAAGTGGAGTCAACAGCACCGTTCCGTAGTCAGGACTTTAAAAGCAAATAATAACTTGGTTATTACTCGTCCTGATAAAGGGGCTGGTATTGTTCTATTGGACCATTCTGATTATGTCTCCAAAATGCAAAGCATTCTTGGCGACGCTACAAAATTCTTCCTCTTGGTCCAGTAGAGACGCATAATCGCACTATTCCTTTAGAAATTAAATTTCAAAAGAAACTCTTATCTTGGGCTAAACGTGGTTTCATATCCCGTGAAGTCACTGATGATATTAGACCTGTTGGGTCTATTCGTCCTCGTCTGTATGGTCTTCCGAAGACTCATAAGGTTGATGTACCCCTTCGACCCATCCTGTCCATGTCAGGCTCGTCTCAACATAAGGTTGCGAGTTTTCTTTCAAACCTTCTTGAACCTGTTGTTGAACATTTTAGCTCGTATACTATCAAAGATTCTTTTTCGTTTACTCAGGTTATTCGTGATACTCCTTCTAAAAGTAAATTTATGTGTTCCTTTGACGTATGTTCTCTATTTACTTGTGTTCCAGTAATGGAAACTATTGATATTTGTTATAACATGTTATATCGAAGTAGTTTGTCACCTCCGGATATCCCAGGAAATGTGTTTGTTGAGCTTATGCAATTCGCTACTATGTCTGTGGAGTTTAGCTTTAACAATTTTATGTACAGGCAGATTGATAGGGTTGCTATGGGCTCCCCTTTGGGTCCCGCTTTGGCCAACATTTTTGTCGGCTTTTATGAGTCGTCCCTCCTCACTTATGACAATGCACCGCCTATGTACCGTCGGTATGTAGACGATACGTTTTGTCTTTTTAATAGTGAAGTGGAAGCTGATTCCTTTCTCACAGTTATGAACCAACTTCATCCATCTTTAAAATTTACCATCCAAAAGGAGTCTAATTCTTGTCTCTCTTTCCTTGATGTCCTTGTGCATCGGACTCCTTCTCAATTTTTTACTTCGGTGTTTCGCAAACCAACGTTTTCTGGTCGCGTTGGGACTCATTTTGTCCCAGAAAGCGCAAAATCAATCTCATCAAGACCTTAACACATAGGGCCTTGATGATCTGTAGCGAACAATATTTGGATGAAGAATTGGATTTTATCCGCTGCACTCTATTAAAAAATGGATATCCTAGTGATATTCTTGATGGTGTCATGCGTGATAAAATTATTAACTTTCGAAAGGAAAAACAATACTTAGTTCAGAAATGTCCTATTTACTTGCGGTTTCCATTTATTGGTTCCCGGGGCGAGCTTGTGGCTAGGCGGGTCTTGTCGGCTGTCCATTCACTGCTATTTCTCTGCTCAACTAAGAATTCATTTTGTGACTCGTTCTGCCTTTCCCTCTATGCGTAAGGATCCTCTTCCTCCCATCATGTTTCTTCCGTGATATATTCTTTTAAATGTGGTTGCGGTAGCAACTACATAGGAAGGACTTCCCAACGTTTAGATTGTAGGATCAGGCAGCATGTCCCATTGCGAGTTCTTAATCCGGATGCTCGTAAGAGCCAGTTGGTTAATACTTCCGGGTCAGCGATCACTTAACATTTAATAAATTGCAGGGATTGTGCGAAGAACTTCCGTCCGAATTGGTTTATTATAGTGTCCAGTTCGCACTCTCCATTTCATTTGAGGGCACTTGAGTCTCTGGATATTCGGTCCAGGGAGCCGTCTCTTTGCAAGCAAAAGACTGTCTCCTTGGGCTTCACGTTATTACACTCTAGTGTCTATCATACTTTACCCTCACACACCCCGTTATAATTTTTTTTCTTCCCTTGTACTGTGCATATTCGCACGGTTTAAAAAATATATATATTTTTCCCCCTCATACCATTACTCATTTAATTTTTAATGTTTTAATTGTATGTAGGGTTTTTGTGTGAGTCAATATATATTGCAATAATTGATAAATTGTTCCCAGTCGACCCTGATGAGCTTGGGAACGAAACCGGTTGGTCTTTTCTGTAAGTGTTATCCTCTCTTATTTTTTTCATAATGCCTTTAGGAAATAATTTGTATTATATATATATATATATATATATATATAAATATATATATATATATATATATATATATATATATATATATATATATATATATATATATATATATATATTCCAGAAAGTCTTGACTAACTTAGTAACAAACATCAAGTTTAATCAGCAATTAGACGTCTAACTAAAATAAAAAATATCACTTGTCTTATTAATAGAAGCGGACAAATGTAGAACTTTATATGAACTATGCACCCGCCACCCCCAAAATACCACACACTACTTAAGGACAAAATCAGTAAAACGTACAGAAAAGCACCAAAAACAACAAAATACCAGATTAATATGGAAGCTAAAATAATTGCCCAAACATTAGACCTCGAAGGCCGAAAGATTTGAAGCTCTAATTCATAAGGATCAAAGATATCAGGGAAAATAGCATCTACACACACAAACACGCACACAGAAAGAGAGAGAGAGAGAGAGAGAGTCCGTTTAATTAAATGCGAATAAAAAAATGGTTAATTAAATTCGACGAGTTAAAGGATTATAAAATGATAAGAATATTATCAATATTGATAACTGATTATATTCCTTTTATATTAGAAGGCATGTTGTATAAACTGAAGTAAGAAAATAAATATTTTACTGTTAGGATTTTTGAACTCGCCAATATCCTTCATCAACGACATGAAAAATAAACAATGAAGTGGGTCTTACTTTTTCCAGGGAATTCTGTTAGTGCTCTTATTTTTTCTTTCTTTTTTCATTTTTGTGCGCATTGATCCTAACCAGCATATTACTTTCTCACCGACGTGATATGGCTTCCCGATCACAGTTTTCCTCCAATTACTTTCATGGCAACTGTTGTGCTCTTTCTTCCTTGGTGCGTCGGGTAAATGAATTTAATCATGCAACTAGACAGGCAACCGGGTCTCACCGATTTACTCTTGCTAGATGCAAGTATCAACTCTGTTGTAAAAGTTTTTGTTTTCTTGCCTTTGGAAATCCCTTACGATTTCTTGCTTCCCTGTTAACTACGATCTCCAAAAGATTAAAATGCAATGCGAATCGCTGTCGTCTGTTTTCCTGATTCCTGTTCTTTTATTCTCCTTTTCCTCGGTAAAGCCTTCTCATTCCCCTTTAGTTATTGTCACCACCTACATCCAAGTGACTTGATCCCGTTGCTGGGTGGGGTAAACGGTTAAGAAAATGAAGGTTCACCAGGGGACAATGTATGTACAACCCGGAAATTTATGATGTGTCAAAAACTCACCTTTTGACACATGATACAAGTGCTAGGTCCTATGAAGACGTGGGTGATCATTTCAATTTCCTCCCCAATACTCCTTTTTTTGTTATACTTACTCTAACCTCTACACACTCACACAGATATATATATATATATATATATATATATATATATATATATATATATATATATATATGTATGTATATACATACAGTATCCACATTAATCCA